CCTTAGCTAGTGTTCCTGACCCTCAGTCTCTCTCTTTACAAATTCATCCTTTTCTGTTTTTCCAGAATTATCTTTCTTAAGCCCACTTGATTATGCTAGTTCTGCCCTGTAGCAGAACTGCTACCCCTTACTTGGTGCTCAGCATGTACTCCCTCCCATTGTTTATCTTTTTACATGTGTGTCTGTCTCTCTAACCAGATGATGGTTACTTGAGAACAGGGACTGAGTTTTACTCTTTTTTTATATCCCCAGACCAGAATTCATAGGAAATGATTCATAAATGCTTGTTGATGAGGATTATGGCATACTTTCTGAGGATGGGGAGAGTTTGATAATGATGATGGTGCAAATATGTGTGACTTAGCTAGTTTCCCTCTCCAGGAAACCACAGAAGAGTGCAGTGTCAAGAAACTTGGGCATCTCCCAGGAAGAACTTTATAAAAACTTGTACCATAAAAATTTAAATATAAAACTTAAGAAAACAAATGCAAACATTTCAGTTTGCATTAACATCTCCAATTATCTCCCTTTCTGAAGATATCTAATTCATTGAAAACTCTGAAAAGTTTCCCTTTGCAAAGAAAGGTAATGTTTTGAGAGTTTTAACTGAATTGCTCAATTCCCAGCTGAACTTGAGAATTTAGTTTAAAATACTAAAATTATTTCATGAATTCTGGGCAAGAAAAACACTTGTAACATTGTCATGGCTCAGAGCAGGCCGCCTCAAGATGTGCCACTGTGGCATATTGATTTTTTTTAATTAAAGTTACTTGAGAAACAGCTGGTACAAAAAGGGCATTCTGACCCTCCTCTCTCTGTCCACTGAAAACAGGAAATGAATCTCCCATGTGAAAGGTGCCCTCCCTACACCAGAAGGTGGAGAGACATCCTTATTGCCAGAGCTAGGGAATTCAGGGCCAAGAAGGCTGTGTAAACAACCTCTGCTTAGATTCTTCACTAATCAAGCACCCAAAGCCTAAGTTTCTTTGTTCTGTCAACTCCTCAGAAGTTTATTGTTTCTTTGTCCAAAAAGCATAAAAGCTGCTTCCTTTGGTCATTTCTTCAGGTCATTTTTCTATGAGACCTCCGTACGTACAAATTAAATCTGCTTTTTTTCTTCTGTTAATCCGTCTTGTGTCAATTTAATTATTAGAACAGCCAAAAGAACTCAAGAGTGGGGAGGGGGAAATTTCCCCATTCCCCAACAACATTCATTTCTTTAAGTAAATAATACACATGTTAATAATCAGAGTATAAAAGGGTTTATGATAAAAGTGAGTCTCCCCTGCACTCATGACCCACCATCCTCAAGTCCTTCCCCAACCTCTGCCTGTGAAGGAAAAACACTCCTCCTGTTTTTCTGCTCTCTGAATACTCTACTTCACTTCTGACACTTCTGGTCACTAAATGTGCAAGGGATGAGCTGACTCCCTTGCACCAAGCAATTCTCAGATTCTCCAGATACCAGCTGAGTGTCATACAATTCAACTCAATTCTGACACTCTCTTCTTGGAGACAGCATCAGATCCCACAGGTTAAGGGCTCAGTCCCACAAGACTGGTCCCCCTCCCTTATTTCAGACTCCAGTCACAAGTCCAGGTGGTTACATGTACTTCTGATCAAGTGGCTATAAATCAGAGGTTCCCATGAGCCCTTCCTGAGGTTTGATTAATTTACTAGAGTGACTCACAAACTCAGGAAGACAGATTTACTAAATTACCAGTTTATTACAAAGGATATGAATGAACAGCCAGGTGAAGAGATATACAGGGTGAGGTCCAGAAGTGTCCCAAGCACAGGAGCTTCTGTCCACTTAGAGTTTGGGTGCACCATCCTCTAAGCACATGGATGCATTCTTGTTCACGGACTGGGAAGCTCTCTGAACCTCGTCCTTTGGGGTTTTTATAGAGCCTTCATTACCTAGGTATAATTGATCAAATAATTGGCCATTGATGATTTATTCAACTTCCAGCCACTCCCCTCACCCCTGAGGTGGGGGCGGGGAGTGAGGCATGAGGCTGAAATATCCAATCCCATAATCACAGGATTGGTTGCCCCAGCAACCAGCCTCCATCTTGAGAGGCTTTCCAAAAGCTGCCTCATTAATATAAACTCAGGTGTGGTTGAAAGGGCCTTGTTATGAACAACAAGACACTCTTTCACTTTATCACTTTGGAGCTATGTCTAGAAGACAAAAACCAAATATTATAACAAAAGATGCCCCTATTGTTCTAGTCACTTAGGAAAATACAAGAGTTTTGGGAGCTGTGAGCCAGGAAAGGGGACTAGGACCAAGTATTTATTTATTATAAATCACAATATTACACTGCACTTCACTAGGGCTCATCAACTCAAATACTTTCCTGGGTCAGGAAATGTAACGTGTAAGATGAATAATGCAGCTGTTTTTGTTGTAAAATGCCATCTTCAATTTTATTCTTTCAACACCACATAATTTACTTGCATAGTTATGTTCTTCACTTCTGCAAAAAACAATGCTCTTTTTTGTTGTTTTGAAAACACTTGACCTTCACTCATTTTGTCACTTTTGGTATAAGTAGTGGTTCCTTTTCCTCTTGATTTTACTAAGGAAAATAAACACACAAGCTTCATGATAAACAGCAACGGATGTACTCTTCAATTTCAGGAAGACTTGAGGAAGGACGGTGAACCACTGGAGAAGACAAGCATGTCTGAAAGATAGAACCTATTTGGCTCCTTCTTCCAACTGATTTTTTTGCATATAAGAATTGAGGCTTGATGTTGTCACACCTTCTGATATTTTAAGAGAAAACAGAATTTTTTTTAATCTGAAATTTCTTGGTTTCAACAAATCCAATATTATTTTTAAAACACTGGATAGCCCAACACAAACCAAATAAAACAGGTCTGCAGGCTGATCTGGACCAGTGGTGGCAGTTTTATTACACAATATTCTGTTCTTTTTTCCTCATGTGATGCTATATATTGGAGATTGTTCCTTATCAGGACAAAGAAATCTAACTCATAGGCTTTCTTGGCTAATATGAATATAATTTATTTAACTAGCTCCTATCTGTCGACATTTATGTTATTAAATTAATTAAACAAAGAAGGCCATTAGATGAGATGGTTCTAATGCCTTGGCAGCCTACTAAGCAAACCTACTAAGCAAACCAAAACCTAAGTCTGTAAATGCTTCAAGGTTAAGAAATCAAAACCTAAGATAACCAACCACAAATAAGGCAACCACTTAAGCCATAGCTAATCAAATAATTTCCTTGCTTTGCTTCCAGTCTTTTCTAAAAATCTTGCCCCTAGCTCCTGTAGGTGGAGCATTGTTAGCCACTTTCAGATTGAAATGGCCTAATTCGAATTGATTTTTGATCAAATAAACTCAAAATTTTTAATATGCCTGTTTATATTTTAATCATGTTAATTCCAATCTTTTGCTATTTCATACAATGCAGAAATAAACATCATCATGCATTCATCTTTGCACATACATGGGAGTGATTCAGTAGGATAAATGCCTAGAAGTAGAAATGCAAAACAAGTGTTTTGTAAAATGTAAAGATAACCCATATATGAAAGGGGTTGCTATTATCTGGTCTCTCTCTCTCTCTCTTTTTTCTAAAACAACTAGGAAGTAACAGTAATAAAGAAATTTTTGTGCAACTCCACAATCCTGGAAAGATCTACAGTTTGCACAGGTCACTATAGCAAGTTCCTATCTGGACCTGCCATTAAAATAGTTGCCACAATAAATATAATAAAGAAAATTCCCAGAGTCCTGCATTTCGGAAGTTTACTGCCAATGGCTGGGTCTATACTTGGTGGTGTTGTGAATGGTTGGATACTGACCTAGGATTTTGATGATTAAGGGGAAAGGAATTTTCTTTATGCTTTGCATGTGTGAGGCTGGTGCCCTTGAAGAGAAGAGGGGACACAGGGTCCTTTGATTTTGGTCCTGGCTATGCCACTAATTGACTTCACTGCCTTTCACAAGGCACATCCCTTTTATGGGCCCCAGTTTCCTCATAAAACATAAAATGATAAAGAGTTGGAAGGAAAAAGGGTATTTAAAGCCATAGAAGTGACTTAGATTACTGAGGGAGAGAATGAAGATAGAGAAAGGAAGGGGCCCAGATCTCTGAGATCTGGGACCTTTCAACATTGAGAGGTTTGGATGAGGAGGGGGAACCAGCAAAGGAGGCTGGGGAGCAGCAGCTCCAGGAGAAAAAGGAGAAAGTGATGTCCTGAAAGCCAACAAAGGAAAGCTGACTAAGGAGGAGAGTGCTGAGCACCCAACATTCTGAGCTGAATGCCGAGGGGTCGGTGCCCACTGGTAATAACGGAATTGCTGGAGACCTTGACTCAACAAATTAAAAGCCAGATGAAAGCTAGTTAAAGAGCGAATGAACCAAATCATTTTTGATGCCTTTATAAACTGCATAAGGTTATTCCAAACCCATAGCTGGGCTAATTGATCTAAGCCCCTTGCAGATCTGACCTTCAGAGGTTCTAAGTCATTGAGCCTGTCCATGACTCCTCCTCCTTCTCCCAAGCCTGTTCTAGGATATGAAAGCGATTTGTAAACAAAGACACTGAACCAGAGTGGGGTAAAGGAGCAACCGCTGGTTTTCATTTTTCTATTACTCTATTACTATACTCATTTTGTAATTGCTAGCCTTCCCCGATTCCTCAATACCTAAATTTTGTTAAATTGGCACCACCTAGTGAGACTATCAAACCGGATTTCACGCCCTCCACTCTACCTGTCCCTGCTCAAGTCTCCAGCTCTCCACCCTCCAAGTCTTGAACTTGGGAGGCACGAACTCAGAACTACAACCCGGAAACAAAGAGGGCGGGGCGGGGTGCGGGCAGGAGGAATATATCTGGCCTCTCTAGAGGCTCTGAGCGCATGCGCGAGTCCTCCACGGACCGTTTGCGCTGCCCGCCTAGAAAGGGCGGGGTGGTGGTTTTCTTGACGGACTGAGTACGGGTGCCGGGCGGGCTCTCGCGGAAGTCCATGCGCCATTGAGAGGGCCGCAGTGGCTGCACTGTGCCCTTGTTGCCGAGCGCCTCTTCCTGGGTCATCCTTGGAACGGGAGCCGGACTGGAGCTGACACCGGGGCTCCGGCGTGGCCGTCTCGGCGCCTGTGTGACCTCCTCGCCGGCGGGATGTGGCGACTACGCCGGGCCGCCGTGGCCTGGTGAGTGCGGGCTCTGACTTGGCTCCGTTATTTCTGAGGCCTCCGGTTGTCCCATCACTACCTCCAGAATGTGCAGATAACTCTCAGGCCAGGTGGAAGGCGGTTGGAGGATTCCGGGATATTTTTCAGGACCTGGAGTGACAGGAGCCCTGGTTGGGCTTACCTGAGGTGCCGGTTCCAGTACTGGCCCTTATCCCTGTTCTGTGCCACTCGAAGATTCTGGGCGCCTTTCAGTCTTGGCCTGTCTCTATTGTCCTTTTGTCCCTGCCCCTTTCACCCTTCTGTCCTTGCTGTTATCTCCGTCTCTGGTTGCTTCTTGTTTTTGCCCTCTCCCTCCCTGGTCTCTGGCTCTATCCATGTGTCACCGCCTCTGCGTCTCTCTTAACTCGCACAGTCTTGATCTTCTCCCTCCACGCCAGGCGTACATTGCTCTTGCAGGTACTCTCGCTCGTCTCCTGGGGTGAAAGGGACTCTGTCTCTTTCCCTAGTCCGCTGAGTGAACGTGATTTGGAGTCAGATCTGGAGCAGTGACGCATACGGTGTCAGAGATGGTGATTAGAGATACCCTCTTAATAGCAGCTTTTTAGAATGTTTAAGGAGGGGGACCTGCTTTTGGATACCAACTGGTGAATGTGGCACCATCTTTCTAATCACACTGTTACTGTTGTCCTGGCCTGGTGTAATCCTAAGAAGAAAAATCGTAGAAGTCTTTTCATTTCTATGGGTTACTATATGCATTTTAATATGATTAAATTTTACTTTATCTTTACACGTAGTTGTGTTCTAATATCTTTAGATGCTTTCAGGTTTAACTCATTGTTGCAGGCATTTGATAAGAAGTAATATGCATCATTCAAGGTTGGAAAAACGTGGTTTTCCTGAATTAACCTCTAGACACCTGTCTTGAATTTTTTTCGGAACGTTTTAAATGGTGTAGATAATTTCTGGTGTTTATAAGGAATGGAATCCGTTTTATGAAGGTTAACTTGAGTCTAAATTCAGAACTGGATGGCATACAGTAGTTATAGTTTGAGTCAACTAGAATAATGAATTATTTCTAATCCCATGGAATTTTAATTTATGAGTAAATCCACAGTCCTTAGTACTGAAGTAAGGTATTTACAACCTTTTTATTTCTACTCCTCAGTGTTTACTGCGGAAACATATCTAATTTTCTTTAAATAAAAAAGAGAAAAGATTGCAGAAACTAGCATACTTCGGAGCAAGTAAGATATATAGGAAAAACTTTAAAAATTGAGTTTAAAAACAAACTGATTGATAACTGATACTTGTTTATTCAATTATATGCTGTTGGCCTAAATTGTTTCTAAAGTTACTAAGGATGCCATAGAATCATGGCTTAACACTGTCTTATATTGATAGCACAGTTTAGGTACCTGCAGAAGTAGAGATGTGGAAGGTCAGAAGCCCCAAGCTCTGGAATTTGTCTTTTGCTGTAGTTCCTCTGCATGTTCTGAAGGAGTACATTTAAATTCCTATTTTTTAATAGATGAGAACATAAACATTTTTTGGCATATCCAATACATGCTCATAGACATGTAAAAAGACCAATGACCAACATTTGTTTAAGTGCAATAAATGTAAAATGATTGAAAAAAGAATTACATATTATGTAACCATATATAGGGTAAAAGAGATGGTAGTTGAGAGATGATTTCTGGGGGAAAAAAAGACTTGTTTTGCATCACATTTGATTTTTAGTTTGGCTGAATACAGAAGTCTATATTCAAAATCTTTTTCTTTCAAAACTATGAAGGCATTACTACATTTTTTTCTGGTATCCTTTGTTACTAATACAAACTATCAAGACAATCTGATTGTTGCGTGTTTGTATGTATCCTGTTTTTCCCTTCTTGGAAGCTTTTAGGATCTTGGCCTTAGCTTAAATTGCTCAAGGCTTTATCCAGGTGTGGGTCTTTTTCCTCTCTACTCATCTGGCTTGGTACTCTGTGGGCCTTTCTGTTAAAAAGAATCTTTAGTTCTGGGAAGTTTTTCTTTGATTTCTTTATTTTCTTCCTTTCATTTTTCCCGTTCTTTTTCTTTTTAGATGAATATTGGTCTTAGATTGATCCTGTATGTTTGTGATTTCCAAAATATGATCTGTACCCATCAACTGGTAAAAACAAAAGTATGCATGTAAAACAAAATGTGTATATGCACACTTATTTTTAAATTATATACGTATGTACCTCTGTACTAATTATTTACATTATACATCTATGTTAGCATAATCTTGAAGGATGAGATACAAAAAATAGTCTATCTAGAAGCTTTGGTACTTTCTTTCTGAATCCCAGTGGATCATTTTGTGCATCGTTTGGGATTCATTCCACACACACACCCACACCCTGCCCCCCACCCCCACTTTGGATGCCATTTCTCTGAGTCACTTAACTTTTCTCTTTTTCCACCTTTTTTATGTTCTAAATTCAGAGAATTTCCTTAATTCATTTTCTGGTGTTGCTATTCTTTTTTTTTTTTTATATTGGCCATTACAGCTTTAATTTCCACGAACTCCTTTTTAACATTTATTAAACTCTTAACAGACATGTTTAATTCTAAAATTTTGCATTGTTCTTTGGTTGCTATTTTTAATAACAATCTGCTTTTATTTTATATCTACAATACCTTTAGAAAGCCTCCTGAGAATATTAATTAGAAGTTCAGATCTCTGCTTTTTCTAGGATTAATAATGTTGTTTATCTTGGTCCTCATTTCTGGTTTTCTACAAGAGTCTGGTTATCTAATCATATTTAACCATGAAGGACTAATGATTGACATAGATGCCTTGTGTGGGTTACCCCTGAAGAGAAGGCTGACTTAGCAGACTGTTTTAGGTGTATGATGTAAATCCAGCAGGCTTCATTTTAGGGCTTTTAGAGAATGGGCAGGTCATCTGATCTTGTTACGAATGTCAGTATTGTTGGGGTTCACTCTGGGAAGAACCCCCCCACACACACACACACACATATACACACACTCTGGGGCCTTAGCTCTTCCCTGCCAGATTGCTCAGCCTAGGGGCAAGTGTTGCTGCTGACACTTAGCTACATTGGAATGGGGCGGAGAGTGACCCAAACAGCCTTTCCCCAGATGGTGCTTCAGTAAATCTCAATTTCTTCTCTTCTTTTCACTCTCTTACTTGTGTCTCAAGAGGACCCTGTTCTGAGAAATAGTCTCTCCTATATGAGCACCATCGTGAATTAGAAGCTCTAGAAGTAATTCTTGAAGATACCCTTCCACGTACTAGGATTTTGCCTTGAGTCAGTTGTCTTCTACCAGGGGACTAATTGAAGAACATTTTACGTGTGGTTCCTGACTTGGACTACCATACGGTCTATCCCTGCCCCTGCCCCCACCCACAGCTATTGCTGCCACCATTGTGGGAAGAGGAATTTTAGGAGTTTAGAAGTAAAAGAGGAAAGAAGTAATAAAAAGCCAAAACATCTTAGGGATATGACCACTCAGGCCTGGGTTCAGTTGTTTGGATATATATTTGGTTTAACTCCTTTTTTTTTGTTTTGAGGAAGATTCGCCCTGAGCTAACATCTGCTACCAATCTTCCTCTTTTCTTTTGCTTGAGGAAGATGAGCCCTGAGCTAACATCTGTGCCAGTCTTCCTCTACTTTGTATGTGGGTTGCCGCCACAGCATGGCTGAGAAGGGACGTAGGTCTGAACCCCCAAACCCCGGGCCGCCAAAGCGGAGCGCAGCCAACCCAACCACTACGCAATGGGGCTGGCCCCTGGTTTAACTCGTTCTAAAAAAGCAAATAACTTTTGAGGGTTAAAAGACTATTCATTCATACATTAGTGGTGGTTAGTGCAATTGATGGGCTAGGCTTTAGAAATACAATGGTAAGCAAAATAGGATCCTGGCCTTATGAAGATTGCAGTTTGCTGGTAGAGACAAACATTAATTCAATAATGACACTACAGGCATACTTCAGAGATATTGCAGCTTCAGTTCCAGACCACCGCAATAAAGCAAATATCACAATAAAGCGAGTCACGTGAATTTTTTGGTTTCCCAGTACATATAAAAGTTGTTTACACTGTACTGTAGTCTAAGTGTTCAGTAGCATTATGTTTAAAAAACAATGTACACTCCTTAATTAAAAAATACTATTGCTAAGAAATGCTAACTATCATCTGAGCCTTCAGCCAGTCCTAATTTTTTTGTTGGTGGAGGGTCTTGCCTTGATGTCGATGGCTGCTGACTGATCAGGGTGGTGGTTGCTGAAGGTTGGGGTGGCTGTGACAATTTCTTAAGATAAGACATCAGTGAAGTTTGCTGCCTTGATGGACTCTTCCTTTCATCAACAATTTCTCTGTAGTATGTGATGCTGTTTGATAGCATTTTACCCACAGCAGAACTTTCAAAATTGGAGTCAGTCCTCTCAAACCCTGCTGCTGCTTTATCAATTAAATTTATTTAATATTCTAAATACTTTGTGGTCATTTCAACAGCCTTCATATCATCTTTACTAGGAGTGGATTCCATCTCAAGAAACCACTTTCTTTGCTCATCCATAAGAAGCAACTCCTCATCTGTTAAAGTTTTGTCATGAGATTGCAGCAATTCAGTCACATCTTCAGGCTCCACTTCTAATTCAAGTTCTCTTGCTGTTTCCACCACATCTGCAGTTACTTCCTCCACTGAAGTCTTGAACCCCTCAAAGTCATCCGTGAGCGTTGGAATCAACTTCTTCCAAACTCCTGTTAATGTTGATATTTTGAGCTTTGCCTGTGAATCACGAGTGTTCTTAATGGCATCTAGAATGGTGAATCTTTTCTAGAAGGTTTTCAATTTACCTTGCCCAGATCCATCAGAGGAATCACTATCGATGGCAGCTATAGCCTTATGAAATGTATTTCTTAAATAATAAGATTTGAAAGTTGAAATTACTCCCTGATCCATGGGTTACAAAATGGATGTTGTATTAGCAGGCATGAAAACAACATTAATCTCGTTGTACAT